GGTACATTCTATTTTGGTTTAGGAATCCTTATAGAACTGATTATTCTAATTACACCCACATCCTAATGAAGTTGCAACAATCTATCAATTTGTATCTTATTTCTCCAAGGCCTGGATCTACATTCAGAGTTAAGTGACACCTTGTGGCTATTTAAATGTATTACACATGAAAGCAAAATAAATGCGAGATTATTCAATAAGGAAGTGTGATCACATTTTGAGTCTGAACAGATAAGCATAGTGACATAACAGAAACAAAAATGAGAAACCACGTACCTACATTTCCTCCCCAAACTCACTGTTGTGGAGTAAGCTATATATATTTCTATCCATTAACGTGATAGGTGGGAGTCCCTCCATATCTTGTGCAGATACCAAGTTGAGATATATGGATGTTTACTTGAGGTTAGTAAATAAAGTTTGATAAATGTATCACTGATTCAGAGAATAGGCATTGCATTGGATAATCTATAACCGACTTCCGTTTTATTGCATCTTGGGAAAAGCGAAATCATCGAAAACAGTTGATATACAGTCGAACATAAATTTTACATGTATGCTCAATGTTGGCAGACCTTCAGGCTGTACACTGTTTGATGTGCCAATCCAATTAACCCCCCATTCCTTCACCCACCCCCCTACTATCCCTGTTGTTTATTCCCCAGTTCCCCTCACCCCCTTTTTCTTTTTTGCATTTCTCACTAATAAAATCGGTGCACGGTGCCTTGGAGCACCGACTAAGCTGAAATCTTTTATGTATTGAATATTGTTCCATATGCATTAAACATGTTTCCTTGTATAACACCTGTTAATACTGTAATTGTCAACAATGCTTGGTAACTATGTTTACATCACGCTGTAAAACATTGACGCTATGTACAGTGCACTTGATAAATTGCTAATAAAAAAAAATAAAAAAATGAGGAGTTAATTTTTGTTAGTTTATATAGGCACTACTCTACTGGATTTTATTAAAATGTGGTGTTCACTTTGTTTTTATGTAATGATAGTACTGCATAAGGAAAGCTGTTTATATTTAGCAAAAACAAAGCAAAACAAACAAAATGCACAAGGGAAATGCATAATACAAAATGCAAAATCAAAAATGGATTTCATGTTTAAAATAAATAAATGAGGGGGGCGGGGCCTAGCAGCCGAACCGACTGGTCGCATGCACAGAGAGCTCCGTGAAACAAACCTTTTACAAGGCTACAATCTTGGATTTATCTCGACAAAAACGACCACCCATAATCAGGAGACGACCAGCACCCTGTCCGGTTGCACCTGGGCGCTTTCTGGCAATACTCACACTATTACAGCCTACCTACTGAAGCGGGTGTGGGAGACGAGGCCGGTCTCCCTGCCAGCTTAGCTGCTGAACCAGGTGTGCGTTGGAAAGGCTCCTGATCCCCCCCCTGCCAGTGGGGGTTATCATGGCCTCAGCATCCCGGCTCTACTTACCTGGTACCGGTGAGCCTGCGACCAGCCTTATGAACACGCTGAAAGACGCTTGTCCCTACAACAAAGCCAAGATGGTGGACGCCATGCTTCATACCCCTCCATGAGGCCTGATGGATACTGCGCTGACCCGATTGGATGCCATCTTTGCGGCCTTCTGGAACAAACTTGAAGAGAGGGAATGAGAAGCACGCCTGCTACATCAATCACCAACTAAAGCAGAGGGTAGCAAGCACGCTACTACACCTCTAAACAAACGTGCAGGGACAGGCAGTCATCCTCACATACACCGGAATCCCTCACGAGCTAAAACCCGCTCCCGCAACCCCGGGCTGAGGGCCTGGAGGGAGACGACTCCAGTGGTTAACCCCCACCCTCGACAGGTGACACAATACCGTAGGGGACCACAGCCCCCCGAGATTCTGCCCACGTCACCAAGAGTGGTCGAAGCAGGGGGAGCTACACGACTCCTCATGCAGCTGTGGGCCGGCGGAGATTTCGGCTGTGAAACTTATGGAAAAGCACAGCAGAGAGGCACCCGTAAACCTAGCAGGAGAACCCCCAACCAGACGGCAACGCAAAACAGAAGGCAGGAGGTCCCCCACCGCCCGACATACCAGCAAGGCACTCTCACACTGGGACTTTCCTCACTAGGCTGGAAGACCCATCACTCACACCTGGACAGCAACCAACACCCGATGGGTATCGGCTGAACCTCCATGGACATTCCACAGGCATCATAGTCACAGCCAGCACCTGTGGACACTTGCCTGTTCCCCGGACTACATACATATTACTACACATTATGCAACTCAACACCAACCAACATCACTTAATGCACACCTAGGCTTGCTTCACCTTACCAGCACGATACCATTATCACTCTGTCTCACTCAACACAAACATAAAGCTCAGCAGTAACAAATGCCCACACACTTTACGGAATGACCCTCATCTAATCAGGTACCAAGTTGAGTGGGTTCGGATAAGTCTCATAAAGCGGTATTTAAACATGCCTGCATTTACTAACACTCTCTCACATCACTGAAGCATACTACTGCTAGCAATGCTAAAACAAATCATAGTTCCATATGCATTAAACATGTTTCCTTGTATAACACCTGTTAATACTGTAATTGTCAACAATGCTTGGTAACTATGTTTACATCACGCTGTAAAACATTGACGCTATGTACAGTGCACTTGATAAATTGCTAATAAAAAAAAATAAAAAAATGAGGAGTTAATTTTTGTTAGTTTATATAGGCACTACTCTACTGGATTTTATTAAAATGTGGTGTTCACTTTGTTTTTATGTAATGATAGTACTGCATAAGGAAAGCTGTTTATATTTAGCAAAGACAAAGCAAAACAAACAAAATGCACAAGGGAAATGCATAATACAAAATGCAAAATCAAAAATGGATTTCATGTTTAAAATAAATAAATGAGGGGGGCGGGGCCTAGCAGCCGAACCGACTGGTCGCATGCACAGAGAGCTCCGTGAAACAAACCTTTTACAAGGCTACAATCTTGGATTTATCTCGACAAAAACGACCACCCATAATCAAGAGACGACCAGCACCCTGTCCGGTTGCACCTGGGCGCTTCCTGGCAATACTCACACTATTACAGCCTACCTACTGAAGCGGGTGTGGGAGACGAGGCCGGTCTCCCTGCCAGCTTAGCTGCTGAACCAGGTGTGCGTTGGAAAGGCTCCTGATCCCCCCCCTGCCAGTGGGGGTTATCATGGCCTCAGCATTCCGGCTCTACTTACCTGGTACCGGTGAGCCTGCGACCAGCCTTATGAACACGCTGAAAGACGCTTGTCCCTACAACAAAGCCAAGATGGTGGACGCCATGCTTCATACCCCTCCATGAGGCCTGATGGATACTGCGCTGACCCGATTGGATGCCATCTTTGCGGCCTTCTGGAGCAAACTTGAAGAGAGGGAATGAGAAGCACGCCTGCTACATCAATCACCACCTAAAGCAGAGGGTAGCAAGCACGCTACTACACCTCTAAACAAACGTGCAGGGACAGGCAGTCATCCTCACATACACCGGAATCCCTCACGAGCTAAAACCCGCTCCCGCAACCCCGGGCTGAGGGCCTGGAGGGAGACGACTCCAGTGGTTAACCCCCACCCTCGACAGGTGACACAATACCGTAGGGGACCACAGCCCCCCGAGATTCTGCCCACGTCACCAAGAGTGGTCGAAGCAGGGGGAGCTACACGACTCCTCATGCAGCTGTGGGCCGGCGGAGATTTCGGCTGTGAAACTTATGGAAAAGCACAGCAGAGAGGCACCCGTAAACCTAGCAGGAGAACCCCCAACCAGACGGCAACGCAAAACAGAAGGCAGGAGGTCCCCCACCGCCCGACATACCAGCAAGGCACTCTCACACTGGGACTTTCCTCACTAGGCTGGAAGACCCATCACTCACACCTGGACAGCAACCAACACCCGATGGGTATCGGCTGAACCTCCATGGACATTCCACAGGCATCATAGTCACAGCCAGCACCTGTGGACACTTGCCTGTTCCCCGGACTACATACATATTACTACACATTATGCAACTCAACACCAACCAACATCACTTAATGCACACCTAGGCTTGCTTCACCTTACCAGCACGATACCATTATCACTCTGTCTCACTCAACACAAACATAAAGCTCAGCAGTAACAAATGCCCACACACTTCACACACTTTACGGAATGACCCTCATCTAATCAGGTACCAAGTTGAGTGGGTTCGGATAAGTCTGATAAAGCGGTATTTAAACATGCCTGCATTTACTAACACTCTCTCACATCGCTGAAGCATACTACTGCTAGCAATGCTAAAACAAATCATAGGCCAGCCTTATAAGGCCAGCAAGCCTCAATCACACTTATTTAGCCTCACTCTAGCAATAGTTCATTCACGTTTATTAACTCCTTTAAAAAATGTGCAAGAATTATATAAATGTCCTCAATGTGCTCATATATATGGTAAGGTTTCTAGCTCGTCAATTGCTGTTGGGGCATGACAAGCATGCATGTAATAATAATATGCACAGAAAAATAAAGAATTAAAATAAATAAATGAAATGAGCAAACGTTTAAAAACATAAATACATTTTATTCTGATATCATTAAAGCTCTTTGAAGAACAGAAACAAAAAGATTAGGTGAATGTACACTAACCATAATATCTAGCAAATTAGATTAGGTAAACCGTGATGGATCAGTTATATGAAATATGTAAGATTTCATCTACTTATGGAGTGTTATCTTTGACATCTAATGACCAATTTAATTCATGTGAAAGTATTACTTCTATCAGCACTGTATACACACAGAGAGGTGCCAAGATGGATCACTTCAAATATGACCGAAATTAAAGAAGCTTTTATTTGTTCCTTATTCAGATTTGTTTGGTTAAATGGAACCATGTAACTCGTTTGGTTTGTCTACGTCTGTTATAGTTTCTCTTAAAAATACATCACAATGTTTCTGTTTAGAATGTTCTTTCTTAACGGAGTTTATTTTCAGTCAGCCTGAAATTCACATGGGTTTGTCCTTAGCTCCTTGGCTTCCTGATAGATATGGTGAAAGTCTCTTAATCGAGGAGCACATCCCAACCATGCATCTCCAAAATGTTCACTCCCAGTGAAGAGGAATTCTCCTTCTCCTTTCTTGACTCTGCACTGCAGCAATGTTCTTATGGGTCCAGCCCAATCACCGGTGGAATCATCTAACTGGAATATGCTGTTTCTTTGTCTGTATACTTTCCGAGCTTTGATGTCCACTCGAGACATACGACTGACCTCGTCATGGCTCACACTCTCAATGGAACCTCGAACCACTAAACATAAAATATATAAAATACCACATTGTACATAGCTGTGTTTATATCCAGTGGGGTAATGGTGCTAACTTTGCGGATGTCCCTAATCTGGGGAATGATTAGGATGCTAATGACAGTTTTTAGCTTCAAATTGTTGGTGGCAACAGCAGGAAAACCGGTTTCAGACATGTTTTATTTAATCTTGATAAATGAACTAGGAGCTAATAATTGAGCCCCCATGGTCTGTTTCTTACAGTGTTATTTCCATATATCAATAAAATGTGACCTTACAAATTTTCAATTGGTTGGTTTTATAAATGTCAAAACTAACAGTTTGGAGATGCTGAACTTACCAAGTTGTATTGATATAAAGTATATTGCAATATGCAATATTAATTTATAGTATTTCTGTACAAACCTAAATAAAGAATTATATATATATATATATATATATATATATGTGTGTGTGTGATTTACAGTATGTGATATATGTGACCTTACAGATTTTCCCACTACCCATATGAATTAAAAGGGAGTATAAGGGAGTCACTTGAACTAATTAACTGAGGTAGACAAAAAAAATAATTAAAATCAGGACCTTTATGAAATGATGACATAATATCTTGTTGAGAACAGACTATTTTCTGTCTCACAAACTAAGTCTTTCAAGAACTATACAGAAATACATACATATAAATGTTAATCTCTATAGAATTTAATTATGAAAATATTTTGACTGGTGAAGGGAGTTTCTAATTAAGTTAAACCTAATTTATCTTAACTTTTGTAATGGTGATTATACTCTTACTTGAGGGTCCTGTCTCCAGATCTCCCACTCACACAGGCAGCTATTTAAAACGTACATCTTGCCCCCACTTACACAGAATAAAGGGTCATGAGGTTAAGAAAGGTTTAATTGATAGAAGTTAAGAATGTCCAGTTTTTGAAATCTGTATTTAAATACTCATTTTGTATCTCTAACTTCTGGCAAAGTTAATTAAAAGAACGCTTTAGTGTTAGGAATACAAAGATGTATTCCTAACACTAACGTGTCCCTCTGCACACGCATCTTCTGCTAACCCCTCCCCCATCCTTAAAAGTGTTAAAATAAAAACCAACTAATCTTTCGGTCACTTACCTAATTCCAGCACTTGAAGGACCTTGGTGCTGGGTCATGATCCTCCTCTGCTGACGTCAGCCGCTGGAGGGATCCAATGTGCATGAGCGGCCAGCTCCACACTCACATTAGACTTTCCCCATAGAGTGGGATTTTGCATGCCTCTAAAGGCAGTCTTAGCGCTTCAATGTAAATCTTGCAGTGTTTTACATTGCAGGGTTAAGGGGACAGGGACACTGCACCAAGACGACTTCAATGAGATGAATGTCAGGGTACCTGTTGGTGATGTATCCAGGGAGGACATCCTCTCTGCTTAGGGGCTCCCTTCCCCTAGCATTTCGGCATATTTCGGCCGTTTTCGCGCCGGCCGCGCTAGCTCCTCCCCCTTTTATGACGCGACGGCTAGCGTCGACGTCATGACGTCGGCATTTGCATAAAGTGCCGGGAACCGCTATTCCGGACCTTTTGGGGGCGTGGTCTCTATTTAGGTAACAGGGTATTTAAAGGAAACCTTTACTACTGCTCATTGCCCTGTCGTGGTTCTAGCTTGCTAGTCACTCAGCGCGTTCTTTAGCTAGTGTTTCCGGTTTTGACCCTTGCTTGTCTTTTGTCCTGTTGTCCTCTCCTCTCCTTTGACTCGGCTTGTATCTCGCTTACCTGTCCTCCGGCTCCCTTGACCTCGGCTTACCTTTTGACTATTCTTGCTTTGTCCTTACGTTAGTCCGGCCATTCTAAGGTCCGGTATACGTACCTCCTTCTGTGCGCACTCTGCGTATTGGATCCCTGTCAGTTTCCTGACATTGAAGCGGTCTGGTTGTCTATAGTGTCCCTTTAACCGGCCATGTTACGGCGTGAAATACATTGACTTTATTAAGATAGAACAGTGACTTACTGTGCTAATTTAAAGGGGAGATTACAGAAGTTGTGCAGCAACATGCCTGAATTAGTGAAAGGATTCAAAACCATTAGTAATCATAGCATTTGTATAAAACTTTATCTTCAGGGTCTTTATACAGAGAACCTGGAAAGATGTCTGTCTCGAAATGGTTGATTTAAAACACCCATATTCTGCAGGGCTGTAAAAAGAGCATACACAGAAACATGCATAGTCTGTGGAAATTTAATCCACAGTGGAAGAAAAAATCAGGACAGAATGGCTGATAGTCTAATTCAGTCATTTCATTGAATTGTCTTGCATTTGAGTATTGATGTGTCCAATATGTTACATGTGATCTTACTCCAGTCCTTCTGGAACTAATCTTAGTGCTAGCCATTGGTCACTTGCACGAGGTATTAATAAATATTGTGTCCCAACAGTCTTCTGCCTCCTAAAGGTTCTATACATTAAAGCCTGAAATTTAAAAATCTCTCTTGGTAACTCTTGGGGGAAGGTGAGATTCATTATGGTCAAGGAAATACTTTGCAAACTGCATTGAGGTTTCAGCTGTGTGTGTCAAACCAATTCAGCTTAGATGTGTCCAGAGGGTTCATGGAATGTGCAGTAGATCTGTGGGCCAGTTCAATGAGTGAAGGCCTCATTTTCCCAGCTTGTGCAGTAGATCTGTGGGCAAGTTCACCGGAGTGAAGGCCTCATTTTCCCAGCTATACCTCGATTCACCAGAGAGGATAACCCTGGACACCAGGTATGCACAGGGTTCAAAGAGATAAATAGATCAAGTAGGGGGCTACATTTACTAATTGGAGATGATCTAGTGTGCATTACACTGAATGCAGACGTGAACATATATGACCGAACATATTAATTATGTAATCAACAAGGAAACCATGAGAATGGGTTGGTTGGATGGATTGGATAAAGGACAGATAAGTTGGATAATGAAAGTTTAGAGGTCAGGTTGGTAAGAATTCTGCTGGAGAACTGTGATAAACCAGAGCAAGGTAAGACAGCAGATACATTGTATTTCTTTTAAACTCACCAAAATCACTGTTGCAAATTGCCATAAGTAAGTCTTCATTCTCGCAAGGCCGACAGACAGCTGGAATAAAGAAATCACAATTAATTCTCTGAATAGCAGCTGTTGTCACTACATGTTCTCCAATATGACGACCGGTAGCACTTGTATTACTATGTAGACAGACCGAAGTTGCCTTGGTGGAAGTGCAAGAGGTGGGCTTTACACATACTGGCACGTATGTTTGAGAGGTAAAATCTGTGCTCAGGTTTTAATAAAATGGAAATATAGGCTTTAATGATGTTTTCTGATTGCTCCAACATAGGTCAGAAATCTGTAATGCAATGTTTGCTAAGCAGGAACGAAGGTCGCTGCATAAAATGACCAAATAGTTAGAAACATCGAAACATAGAATGTGACGGCAGATAAGAACCATTCGGCCCTTCTAGTCTGCCCAATTTTCTAAATACTTTCTTTAGTCCCTGGCCTTATCTTATAGCTAGTATAGCCTTATGCCTATCCCACGCATGCTTAAACTCCCTCACTGTGTTCACCTCTACCACTTCAGTGTTTGTGTCTACTACCCTCTCAGTAAAGTAATACTTCCTAAACTTATTTTTAAACCTTTGTCCCTCTAATTTAAGACTATGTCCTCTTGTTGTGGTAGTTTTTCTTCTTTTAAATATAGTCTCCTCCTTTACTGTGTTGATTCCCTTTATATATTTAAATGTTTCTATCATATCCCCTGTCTCGTCTTTCCTCCAAGCTATACATGTTAAGATCCTTTAACCTTTCCTGGTAGGTTTTATCCCGCAATCCATGAACCAGTTTAGTAGCCCTTCTCTGAACCCTCTCTAAGGTATCAATATCCTTCTGAAGATATGGTCTCCAGTACTGTGTACAATACTCCAAGTGAGGTCTCACCGGTGTTCTGTACAATGGCATGAGCACTTCCTTTTTTCTACTGCTAATACCTCTCCCCATACAACCAAGCATTCTGCTAGCATTTCCTGCTGCTCTATTACATTGTCTGCCTACCTTTAAGTCATCAGAAATAATCACCCCTAAATCCCTTTCCTTAGATGTTGAGGTTAGGACTCTATCAAATATTCTGTACTCTGCCCTTGGGTTTTTACATCCAAGATGCATTATCTTGCACTTATCCACATTAAATGTCAGTTTCTAGTGTACCTAAATCACACAGAGCACCCCTCACACACACACCATCTCTCACACACAAATGCTGCACCCCTCACACACACAAAGAGCACCCCTCACAAATACAGCACACTCACACACATACAGAGCACCCCTCACACACATACAGAGCACTCCTCACACAGACAGAGCACCCCTCACACACAGACAGAACACCCCTCACACAGACAGAGCACCCCTCACATACACACCACCCCTCACACACAAACGCCGCACCACTCACACACACAGCACCACTCACAAATACCGCACCCCTCACACACAAACACAGCACCCCTCACATACAGACAGAGCACCCCTCACACAGACAGAGCACCCCTCACACACACAGCACCCCTCAGACAGAGCACCCCTCACACACACACCACCCTCACACACAAACACCGCACCACTCACACACACAGCACTACTCACAAACACCGCACCCCTCACACACAAACACAGCACCCCTCACACAGACAGAGTGCCCCTCACACAGACAGCACCACTCACACACACAGCACCCCTCACACACAAACACCGCACCCCTACCACACAGAGTGCCCCTCACAAATACAGCACCCCTCACACACATACAGAGCACCCCTCATACACACAGGGCACCCCTCACAGAGACAGCACCACTCACACACACAGCAACCCTCACACACAAACACCACACCCCTACCACACAGAGCACCCCTCACAAATACAGCACCCCTCACACACACACAGAACACCCCTCAGACAGACAGCATCACTCACACAAACGCCGCACCCCTCACACACAGAGCACCCTTCCAAACACAGCCCCCATAAAACAGACACAGAGCACCCCTCACAAACACTGCACTCCTTACACACACACTCCACACCACACAAACAGCAATCCTAACACACATACAGAGCACCCCTCACACACACAGAGCACCCCTCACAAACAGCATTCCTAACATACATACAGAGCACCCCTCACACAACATAGAGCATCCCTCACCCAGACAGCACTACTCACACACAAACACTGCACCCCTCACACACACACACATCACCCCTCACACAGACATACACACACAGAGAGCATCCCTCACACATACACAGCACCCCTCTCTCTCACACACACACACACACACACACACACACAGGCACCTGATGCACACACACAGACAGAGTACCTCATACATACAGAGTGCCACACATAGAATGTGATGGCAGATAAGAACCATTCGGCCCATCTAGTCTGCCCAATTTTTTCAAATACTTTCATTAGTCCCTGGCTTTATCTTATAGTTAGGATAGCCTTATGCATATCCCACGCGTGCTTAAACTCCTTTACTGTGTTAACCTCTACCACTTCAGCTGGAAGACTATTCCATGCATCCACTACCCTCTCAGTAAAGTAATACTTCCGGATATTATTTTTAAACCTTTGCCCCTCTAATTTAAGACTATGTCCTCTTGTTGTGGTAGTTTTTCTTCTTTTAAATATAGTCTCCTCCTTTACTGTGTTGATTCCCTTTATGTATTTAAATGTTTCTATCATATCCCCCCCTATCTCGTCTTTCCTGCAAACTATACATGTTAAGATCCTTTAACCTTTCCTGGTAAGTTTTATCCTGCAATCCATGAACCAGTTTAGTAGCCCTTCTCTGACTCTCTCTAAAGTATTAATATCCTTCTGGAGATACGGTCCTAAAGAGAGACTTGAGTTGACACGAGCAAAGAAACATGAGACTTGAGGAGAGTCTCTGGAAGTAGGTTAAGTGTAAGTGTTGCGGCAAGTATGTTTATCTAAAATGTTAAAATTAGAGTAGAAACCATCAACATTTGGGGACTTTGATGGAGAGGTACACATTATGGCCGTATTGGTTGAGATAGGTGAGTTTGAGTAGACTTATAAGTTTGAGACATTTCAGTGGGCGTGCTGTTCCTTTAAAGTGCATTTTGTATCACAGCAGTGAAAAATGTCTTATTAAAGAAGGAATGTTTAACATGTTATCAGCAATTATTTACTGTGCCCCCTCTTGGTGGGTTGGTGATAAGTACTAAATGCTATCACTGCTCTCTCTTTCAGTTGTCAATTACTGCCAACATATGTCCAGATGTTCCAACAACAGACACCCAGAATTATTCCACACAAGACCTACCATAAGATTTCCTGCTGACCCCCCTCAGCTAGAAACCAATGGGATATTGACCCGCTACTTCCTAGAGCAGGGACAGGCAACATTTAGCACTCCAGATGTTGTGGACTACAGCCTCCCTTATGCATTGCAAAGCATAATGGCAAGAGTAGTCCACTACATCTGGCCGAAGGTTGCCTGTCCCTGTCCAAGAGCAAGCACAAGATCCATTGCCACATTTTACATTTAGTCTGGGATGGGCAGTACTATAAAACCATTTACAATCAGTTAAAGATAGTAATGATATACAATACACAGCTTTATCATTTTTTTAAAATACACATCACAGCTTTAATTACCTTCTACTAGCGCAAATTTATGGAACCATGGCCCGGAATTTTGGCTGCTGAGCAGCTCATACTGAAACCCAGCTGTCCTTGCTGTGATCTCGGTCTGCGGACTGGCCTGCAGAAACAGGGTCACCTGCTGTCTGTCCATTGAAAAGCAGTGTACCTGCCGTAACCCCTCCGTCTCGCCTACCAGGAGGCGCACTTCTTTATTCTTTTCCACATAAATATTAGCACCTTTGAATTGTGCGGATGGCTTGATGCAGGCTGTACTGTACTTGCCACTTGCCAGGTTGGGCTCAAGAATAACTCGCAGGGCTCGTTTTGGGTAGATCCATTCCAGGGAACCCTCTGTACAACGCAAGCGAATAAGTTCCACAGCTTGCTGACGCAAGTCCGAAACCAGACCACTGCAAGGCAGGAAGTATTGTAACAAATTTAAAGCAAATTTACAAAAATAAAAGGCTAAAACCCTAATTTAACCCAAGTACTGTTTCATCACATACCATACTTGTGCTTGCAATGAGGTGAATAACTCAGCTATTAAAATGGGAATTCCTTACCGAGGTTTTTTACTATGTTTATTAATCTTTTATATTTAATAAATCCGAATTTTGTGAGGATAGAAAAATAAAATTAACTGTAGAAATCCACATTTCTTTACCCTATAACTAGACTCTTTAATTTTAGCTCTCGGTCAGTCATCTTTATAAGACTGATCGAGTCTTATCTTCTTTTGAACTGACAGTCAGCATAGAGAAAACATACAGATGGTTATTTACTACAGTGATAATTCTAAGTGAATTTTAAAAGGACACTGTGACGGACCCGCTGGCACTCCGACCGAGTACCTCCGTCAATCGACGCTCCTAGTGCTTGCCGAGGACTCCAAGCACTCCAACCAACACCATCAGCACTGCAGACTTATCCCATCCCCCAAGCATGAGCCAAGGCTTTAAGAAAGGGTCAAGCAGGTCTGTTTAATGAAAACACTCAAGCAACAGCACTCATGCAGCAAAACAACTCCTCCTCAGAGGAAAACAAAATGACAGTTAAAAGGGTCAGACAGAGTTTGAATATATGACAGGTATTAAGGGTTTAAACTGGTGTTCTAAGGGGGGGGGGATAAAACAGTCAAACTAAGTCCATAAAACAGGGGTTTTCTTCACACTCTGCATCTGAAGTGCAGATCCTTTGTCAGAGCAATTAAAGGGCAGAACCAGTCTAATAAAATCCACTATGCCCAAATAACATATTTAACCCCTTAAGGACACATGACATGTGTGACATGTCATGATTCCCTTTTATTCCAGAAGTTTGGTCATTAAGGGGTTAAAGGGCAAAATCTTCCAGGGGCCATAATCGCAGGGCAGGAGGCTGGCAATTAGTCCTCTCCAGGCACAAGTGGCAAAGGGCACTTCGTCACAGACACTATATTCACTAAAACAACTTTAGCTTGACATAGCAGTTTTGGGGTATATATATAATGCCCCTGAAGTTTCACTGCTCAATTCACTGCCATTTAGGAATTAAATCACTTTAGTTTCTGTTTATGCAGCCCTAGCCACACCTTCCCTGGCTGTGACTGACACAGCATGCATGAAAAAAAAATAGTTTTACTTTCAATCAGATGTAACTTACTTTAACAGTTTTTATCTTCTGCTCTGTAAATCTAACTTTAAGCACACACAGGAGGCTCCTGCATGGTGTAGCAAGCTATTACCAGAGCAGGAGATATGACATTCTGAATTAAACAGAATTTGCCATATAGGAAGCATAAACATTAGATGACTCTTTATAGGAAGTATTTAGGAAGGTTGTGCAAGTCACATGCAGGGAGGTGTGACTAGGGCTGCATAAACAAAGTGATTTAAATCCTAAATGGCAAATAATTGAGCAGTGAGACTGCAGGGGCATGATCTATACACAAACAGTTTCACTAAGATAAAGTTGTTTTGGTGACTATAGTGTCCTTTTAAATCCAAGGCAAGAGTAAAAAAAGCTGAAAGCATAGCTGACTTACAGAATTGTTTCCAGTCTGACTATGTTGAAATTTACTTTGAATTCTCACTTCAGTAAATAACCCTGACAGAGACCAGGAGACATGAAAACAAATGTTTTTATTTATCCACCTCATTTGCATTGTGTGCCTTGATTGTGCCTTGACTGAACTGGGTTATGGTGTAATTTGCAAAATCTATTATACATTTAAAAAGAAAACTGGGAATCAAATGAAAGGTAACATTAACACAAGTTGTAAATGATTGTAAATACTAATTAAATATATCCATTTAGACCAGGGCTGCCCAATAGGCAGATTCCCATATGTTTTAGAGCTGTAACTCCCATGATTCTTTGCATGCCATTAGAATGCCTTTAGAATGACAAAGCATCATAGGAGTTGTAGTTCTACATCTGTGGATCTGCCCCGATTTAGAATATTTTTGTTACAATGTATTGACCAGCTGTACATTCTGATCACTGCCCTGTGGCCCTGCTAAGTACCATTACTCACAGAGAATGGTCCGGAGTACTGTGTCCCAGGGTTGTTGGGGGGTGGAGGGGTAGGGAATTAATAAAATATATGCCGACCAGTAAATTCTTATCTAGGGGAGGTAGACAGTCGCTTATCAGCAGGTTCCAGAGCAGCATGGATATTGTCATTACAGGAAGTAAATGATAAGCAAGGTTTGCAAAAATAAAACTGACATTTTGGGTGATAATAGGCATTATTTTATTTTAGAAAGAAATTCACACATGCTACACTTGCAAACATAAAATTCACACAATAAAATATACTTGATTTTAGTTGTATTTTAATACATATATAAATATGAATACATTGATACAGATTTAAAATAAAGGAGTATTGCTTTATATTATATATAATACATATTTAAATGTTTTGTGTTATTTATTTAGTAATATGCTTCATATAGCACTTTAAAACCAGACACTCATTGTTATCGCTATAACAATAATTAAAAAAAAGGTTTGACAATTTTCACCCTACACTTGAAATTCACTTTGAATTCTCACTTTAGTGAAAAACCTGGATTATATAAATTATATATGTATATTATTTACCCACCAATGGTAGTAAATTAAAATGAAAACGACAAAGAGTCTAATTTAGAAAAGTTTATTATACGCTTCTGTCATCACAGTTTGTCTTTTGTAGCCATAATATTTCTATTGAATTTTAATTTGCCACAATTCAGAGTTTGGTGAAGAACACAAAATCTGTTAAAGTGACAGATTGGTAGCTTACCTCCCTCTCCAGCTGCAGTAGTCCCCAGCACTGACCATCTTTGATACCCTGGCTAACACCAACAAGACACACAGTAAGGCTGAGCACATTGTCCTGTGCATGGAGTGTGTCCACTGGTTGGGAGATGGGACCTGCATTGTGTGCACATGGTCTGTCTGCAGTCAGAAAGCCAACCTGACCACTCAGCAAATCATCTCCTCCTCAATTTAAATGAATCTCTCATTCCTGACTTTTAGTTCAAAGGGGACGTCACAGCAGCTCTAAAAGGGATGGACTTAAACATGTTCTGTGTACAGATCATTACCCACATTGCTCCCCACCGTCTTTTAAATCAGCTTGTGAATTTTAAACGGATTCATGGGATTTAATTAATGAAATGTAGTTTTAAAAATACTATTATACAAATTACTTTCATATTCAGACAGCTAGCAGTGATGTGCATAAACATAGTCAAAACATAGGATTTATTAACAAAACACCAAAATGTCATAAATTATTATTACAGGCAGTTATAAAATATTTGAATAGCAAATTGCACATTTTGGGCTAAAATGCCAAATATTTGGTCAAAAAGGAGAACTTTTCCTAGTTAGCATTTTTTTTTCCAAAGCATTTGTTCAAATTACTTACATGCATCTCATATAGGCACATTCTGCACATTCACAACATTAGAGGGACACTATAGTGTCAGGAATACAAACATGTATTCCTGACACCATAGCTGTAAAGCACTGTTTAGGTAATTTACTCATCTTATTTCCAACGCGATGCTGGTGTTGTCGCGGCTGGCTCCGCCTTACCTTCTTGGCCGAGAGCATCAATCTTGACGATCTTAGCCAATCCAATGCTTTCCCATAGGAAAGCATAGACAGGCTATTGCGCATGTGCAGCATAACACCGAGCTGTGCCAATCAGCATCTCCTTGTAGCGATGCATTAAATCAATGCATCTCTATGAAGAGCATTCAGCGTCTCTGTAACGGAACTGCTGGCACCCCGACCGGGTACCTTCCGCCGACGGATGCTCCTAGTGCTTTCTGAGGACTCCAAGCACTCTGCCTGACACCATAACCACCGCAGACCCCACGAACCGCCGCAGCTTGGTTGGGGTCTCGCCGTCTCCACCCACTCTGGACCCAGGACCAGGGTCCAGCTTCCAGCAGGTCGACCTCTCTCCGAATTCAAGAGAGCAGGAACAGGAACCAGCTCTTAGCAGAGCTTAGTGATTATACCCTGGGGAGTATAGTGATTATAGCAATCCCCAGAGTGTAGTTTCTCCAATCCCCCAAACATGAGCCGAAACTTCATGAAGGTACAAGATGATCTGACTCCAATGAGCGTTTATTACTGCTTATATACAAGTTTTCAGGTCAGAGTCACACCCCCTGGACCTGGTGGTAAACTGTGACAAAAGGGACACAAACCAATGGGAACACTAATTAACATGATAACACTCTCACATACACAATGAAATCCCTCCTCTCCATCTTGGAGATAATTGGCTTAAGGCACTGCACTAAACTCAATTATCTCCAGGTACGGAAAATATCTACATTTAACACTAACAGCAAAAATACGTAAAAGTACATAAAAATACATAATTCTTATTTTATTACACAGAACCCCCACATTTAACCTATCCCCAGATAGCTCGGATCTGAGCGCCCAATCTAGGTGAACAATAGACAGGAAACGGGGGAGGGGAAGAAACACACCTTCCCATGGATTCCAATGGGAAGAAACTGTCTTTAGAAGCCAATAAGCCCCAAATAGTCTTTTTAAATGGCAATACACCCCAGGGCCATAGTCATGAGGAAGGAGGCTGGCAATCAGGCTCCTCCAAAAGCCGGGGGCAAAGGGCAGCTTGTCACCTAACAATCCAGGGACAAAAGGCATTTTGTCACAGTCTCCATGCAAAGTGTGGAGAAGCTGAATGTTAATGCTGCACACTATGCAGCACTGACCCAAGAAGCACCTCTAGTGGCCATCTGAGTGACTGCACCTAGAGGTGTTACTTTTCAGCAATGTAAACACCAACTTTTCTTTGAACAGCTTGTAAACACCAGAACAGGCTCTGAACAGGCTGTCAACACCAATATCTATAGTTCTTTTGGTGACTATACTGTCACTACAATGGCAGTTGTCAATGAGGGGGATATATTGGGCAGAAAGTGAACAGTCAGCTCTTGAATTTCATGTGTTTGAAGCAGGAAAAATGAGTGGAAAATATTTGAGTCACTTTGACAAAGTCCAAATAATGATAGCTAGACGACTGGGTCAGAGCATCTCCAAAACGGCAAGTCTTGTGGAGTGTTCCCGGCATGCAGTGGTTCTTACCTATCAAATGAGGTGCAAGGAAGGGCAACCGGTGAACTGGTGACAGGGTCATGAGCGCCCATGGTTTATTGATGCACGCGGAGAGCGAAGGCTGCAATCACACAGAAGAGCTACTGTAGCTCAACTTGCTGAAAAACTTAAAAGATTAATATAACACTTTTGAGAGGGGTAAAATGACCTACTGGGCACTATGGGTAAGTTCACCCCTCTCAATCTTCAATAAAACCTGCGAATAACAGTTTTTACTCACCTTGAATCCTTGAATGTGCTGGAACCACAAATCTGATCCATGGAGGTCCTACCCCACAACTTGCAGGACTTAAAGGACCTGGGATAATGTCTTGGTGCCAGATTCCACAGGACACATTGAGAGGTCTCGTGGAGTCCATGCCTGGATGCATCAGACCTGTTTTGGCAGCATGAGTTGGATCAAGTGATGCTAGGCAGGTGGTTTTAATGGCTGATCAGTGAATATAAATTCTTATTATCTGAAGAGCAGTGTTTCCTATCCCTGACACTACACGCTTTTTTTATTTTTATTTTTTTTATTTATTTCCTATAACTGAAAAATTGAGCTGGCATTAAAATACTAGTGGCAAAAAAAGTTAATTAGTTGTTTTCTTTCTTCTTTAAAGAGTCATTCTAAGCACCATAATCACTACAGCCTGCCGTAGTGGTTATTGTGCTAGCAGGCTTTTTAACTCCATTCCTCCGATCTGTCGCAAGCGTTTTTTAAATAGATTGACAACCAGGCACCCATACTTGATTTACAAGTACATCCCCCGTACTTGATTTACATTTCAGCATTAGTAATATAAATTTTGTCCATATTTGTATGTCAGCGAGGAGTTTATTCACTGAATTGTAGTGAAATAAAGCAGCATTGCAAAATGTAATTTTAAATAGCCGAGCTGGAACCATATGGAAGCTGTAGATTTTTGTCCCTTCCTTAGATCAAATATTTTTGCCCACGTTTTGCAAATTCAAAATTAGCGAACAAATAAATTCACTGGCTATATCAGTAAGGTTACATGCCAAACACATGAACTTCACGATTTTCATAACCGCTTGAGCAGCCTTTTGTACCTTTTGTTCCAGGCATATAGCCAAGAATAATCCCCTCAACCCACCCCATATACTGCAGGAAATATTCCTGATTAGATAAGCTATCTGGACCAGGCATGAAACATCGGTAATGTATTTGTTTATTTGTATTTATTTATAAAATATTTTATCAGGAAGGATAGATTGAGATTTCTCTCATTTTCAAGTATGTTCCAGGTCCACAAAACATTGCATTGATACAACAGGGTACAATAAAATACAAAAACAATATTAATACACAATGTACACAAATTTTAATATAGAACAGGTAGGAAATATATAATCAACCATGACAGGTGCATTCTGTTTTGAGATATGTAGAGATGGATCTCTTAAAGGACTTTAGACTTGGGGAAGATTTGAAAGTGTGCAGGAGGTCGTTCCACAATTGCAGTGCTCTGTAGGAGGAGGAGGATCGGGCCGTTTTATTTTTGTATTGAGGTAGACTAAATAAAGTGCTGGTACTGGATCGGAGCTTATAGGAGGTGGGAACAGCTGGGGAGAGCATTCTGCTCAGGTATGATGGGAGTTTCCCAGAAAAGCTCTTAAACACAAGGCTGGAGAGATGAAGGGTGCATCTGTATTCCAGCGACAGCCAGTTTAGTTCTTTTAGCATGTCACAATGGTGGGTCCTGTAATTACATTGTAGCACAAATCGGCAGAACGAGTTATACAATGTATTCAGTTTATTAATGTGGGATTGCGATGCAGGTGCATATACTACATCCCCATAATCAATGATTGGCATCAGCATTTGCTGTACAATCTTTTCCTTTACTGTAGGGCTTAGGCAGGATTTGTTTCTGTACAGGGCACCTAGTTTTGGAAAAAGTTTAGATGCAAGCTTTTCTATATGGAGGCCAAAAGACAGATTGGGGTCTAACAACATACCCAAGTATTTGAAAGAATGGACTGCAGTCAGTGGACCATTTGATTTTGTTTTGATGGATAGGTGGGAATTGTGTAATTTGTATAATTTTGGTACAGTTCCAAAGATCATTGTGACAGTTTTGTCAGTGTTTAGGAAGTTTGTTTTTTGCGATCCACTTTTCTACCTCTGTAAACTGGTCTTGGAGCACAGCCTCAAGCTGCGGTAGATTGGATCTGCTTGCATAGATTAAGGTGTCGTCTGCGTACATCTGAGGATTTGCTGTCATTAGGCAGATCATTTATAAATAATGTGAATAGTAGGGGGCCGAAAATGGAACCTTGTGGAATGCCACATGTGACTGGGAGAGGGAGGGAGTCGCTGTCAGAAATGGACACGTATTGTGAGCGATCCGATACATGCGATCTAAACCAGGTTAGCGGACGATCACCAATACCTGATTTTTTTAGTTTGTGCAGTAGAATGTCGTGGTCTACTGTGTCAAAGGCCTTTGCAAAATCAAGGAAAATAGCTCCAGTTAGGTCTCCTTGTTCCATGCCAGTTTGGATGTCATTGCAAACTTTTAAGAGGGCAGTTGTAGTGGAGTAATTTGGGCAAAAATCCGATTGATCAGGGGTCAGATAGTTAAATTGTTGGTAATACACACATAGTTGCGTATGGATGTATTTTTCTAAGATTTTTGACAATACTGGGAGCAATGGTATTGGTCGATAGAAACCAAAGTAGTGTCACCACTTTTATGGATAGGCACTACTCTTGCAGTCTTCCAAAGTTTGGGTATGTATCCAGACACCAAGGATTCGTTAGTTAGGGTTGTGACAGGTTTAGCAATTGCCGGCGCACTGAGCTTCAACAGCATTGCTGAGATTTGATCAGGTCCGGACTGGTTTTTCATTTTTAGGTTATTAAGGTGTTTCTTAATTACTCTAACAGGTATAGGTCTAAAACTGAACTTGTCCATATTGGGTCTTTGCAAATTTAGTGGAGCCTGATCCACATTTGTAGCTTCAGGATGCGTGTCATTTATTAGCTTGGCAATCAGGGCAGTGGAGCATCTGACAAAATAATTGTTAAAGGCATTTGCTACATCTAAGGGAAGTTGCAGGGTTCGGTTATTCACTGGAAGGGTTGGAGTGGAATTTGTAATTTATTTATGACTTTCCAAACGTTTCTAGGGTTGATATGTTATTGTTCAGGTTTTCACAAAAATATTGGGCTTTGGCCAATTTTGTTTGTTTTGTGCATATATTTCGCCATTATCTATATGCACAGTAAAAAACAACAAAATATTTACTATATATATACACTCAAAGGCAAAGGTGTACAACCACCCTACAAAAGTGTACCTCACAAACACTCTGGGGTCGTATTTTTGTTTGTATTTATCCCTATATGCACAGTGATCGTTCATAGAGCCAGTACGCTTGAACTTTGACCACAGTGAATCCCAATACTGGTACATTTGGATGAGGTCAGCTGTGATCCAATTCATAATTGGATGACAGAACATAATCAGTCTAGTTTGTTTGCTTTGTGGTTTAGTTAAAGGTCCGTTCTGGGAGCCATAACAGTTCAAGGAGGTCCCAGAAACATCTTACCACAAGTTGTTAACTCAAAGACAGCACCCAAAGTAGGGCACACCTACTGCAACATCCTGATCTGTTTCTGCTCACTTTTTCACAGAACGCAATTAAATGAACACTCCATGCACCATAACCACTAACGCACCCTGCTGATGGAGCCTAGGTAAGAAGTCAAATTGTTCTAGAATTAACTACTTAGAACAGGGAGGCTGGGCACTTCTGTCACCATAACCACTACAGAAATCTGTAAGACTGTTCTTACAGGGGTTTACAAATATGCAGCCATAGGTTATTCCTTGCTATCTAGTCAAGAAAACATTATTCTTCCTTGTCCTGATCCTCATTTATTAAACACACCCATCTCAGATTTGAATGGACTTTAATTTTTAATTTTTTATTTTTTTTTCAATTTGTGGTTATGAACTTTCTTTTGTCGTGCTCCTATAATTGTCCTTTCACAAGTCCTGAAGGCTTATATTGTATATTTGATGCGGTTGACCAATCAAATATAAATGTTTTAATGCAATAAGTAATGGAATAACATTTCTCATGAACAGGATCTCGGACATACAGCTCTGTGTTACTATTAAGAAGTATTGGAGTGAGAGAAACCAGACGAAGGGGTTAAGGGTGGGTTGGTCTCTCCCTGCGAGGTGAATGGACGGTAGGCTTCCCTCTCAGAGGTACACCACCAGAAGGTTTAAAGGAGAGCTTGGGGTCTCGATCGATGTATTATAACATTTTAAGAAAGTTTTTTGAATTTTAAAGAGGGCCACATAGGGCTCTGGGGGTAGGGCCCAAAAATGACTGATTATAAAGCTGACCAAATGCATCTGGTCGATTGTTGCAGATTCTGTAAGTAGGAGAATTACAATTATACAAGTGCAGGCACACCCATAATGCACTGTGCATTTGGGCAACAGGAAGTTTTTAGCTCAATGCCAGGGTTAGTTAACCTTCGGCACTTCAGATTTTGTGTACGGCATCACCCCTGATGCGTTGCCAGCATTAAGACATTAAGGGAGATGTAGTCCACTAAATTTGTAGGGCCGAAGGTTGCCTACCCCTGCTGTATGTCAAGATAGTAAGTACATTACAGAATCTGCTTGCATGGCTGGCTACTATTACATGCTGCTAAAAACATAGCTAGTTTGGTCATGTTTGAGATAAAATGACGCTATGCACCATAACTACTATAGCTTATCGTAGAGTTTTTGAAGCTGTCTTTGTGTGCAGTCCCTCAGTTTTCCTATCAGACTGTTTAGGTATATAGATAAAAAGTATGTAAATGTAGTTTTTCTGGAACCCAAAGCCTGCACCCTCTGCTGTCACCCAAATAATTAAGAAAGTTCACTTCATTATCCAACCAAATTTAGGTGAAAGTGATAGCCTGGGAGTGCTCAGGGGTGGGATTTGGGCAACAGGAGGGACCTGGTTTTTATCAAATTTCTGAAATAACACTGTACCATAACCACTAAAGTTAAGTGTAGTAGTTGTGGTGCAGTGTCTTTCCAATGCAACATATGAAAATGCTATTACACAGGGTTTAACAAATTGTCTTTTTATCACAATACTAATGAATTTATATTGCGCCTTCAGAAAACTCACAGCGAGTGCATTTCTTGTGACGTTAATCAAACTTACGTTTCCTATGTTCACTCACAATCATGACTGCCAGTGTGCCAGCACAGGGCCCACATTTAATATCAAGACAAATCCGACGCAAATAGCAAACTTGAGACGAATCACAATTGTTGTAAGACTATTACCTCAATCATAATGGTGGCACCTTTATTAATGGACGGGTTCAGTCAGTGCCGGTAAGCCAGCTTTATTTACATTTTTATTAGATCTTTCGTACTCGAAAATACTGTTTAATTGAGAACAGTTTAGCTATAACAAAACTAAGAATGTCACCACTCAAGTTTGAAAAGGAGACGTTTGAAACTAAGCTTTCACCACTGCTGTTACCACGACGCAACAAAGAGATTTCTCTCAATTATACGTTTTAGTTCTGATACATTCGGTACATGGGGCACAATGCGCACGAACTTTATGAAAAAAGTGAACTAATCACCGTGGATACCACTGCAACATCAATACCTATTGCTCCATATTACAACAGAACTTTGCCCCATGACATTCCAAATCTCCTCCTGAGATCATCCCTTGTGTACAGCTAACCCCCTTCCAATTTAGAAACATGTCCCTTTATATCCTCTTTCTGCACTGGTTTCGACAGCAGATGGATTTAAAGACCTGTCCATTAAACTTTCACTCTCATCTAAATCCTTAACAGGACAGAAATCTCCTTTCAGTTTATAAGGTGCTTTGTATTTACTGCTTTTTATATGGGAAGAGTCACTTCTAAACAGCAAGGGAGGATATACTCTTTTGGTCTGGGGGAGTGTAATTGTGTTTATTTGGATGTGCTCCGCAGGACATGGGGATAGGAGGTATTGTTTGAGTTTCACTGAGACAAGCAATGAAACTCGGACCCACAGCCATCTGCTAACTTGTTCTCACAAAACAAAACAATGCATGTTAATATACATAATGGACTGTAACAAGTATGTACCTTGATATAATCTATCATATAATGCTACTCCTCTTTAGATTGTAAGCTCTTTACTGCATCTTACTCATGTAAGACAAACGTGTCTTGGTAAATCTACTTTATATGTCTCATCCATCGATTGTACAAGGCTGAAGAATATATAGGCTTTTAAAAATAATAAACTACCTGTGCACAATTATTCAGAACTAACCATACCTTAAAGGTGCCCTATAGTCATCAAAACAACTTTATCTTAATGACGCAGTTTTGGTGTACAGATCATGCCCTGTGCAGTCTCACTGCTTAATTCTCTGCCATTTAGAAGTTAAATCACTTTGTTTATGAAGCCCTAGTAACCACTCCCTGGATGTGACTTACATAGCCTTTTGTAAACACTTCCTGTTAAAAGTCATCTAATATTTACATTTCCTTTATTGCAAATTCTGTTTCATTTAAAATTCCTTATCTCCTGCTCTGTTAAAAGCTTGCTAGACTTTGCAAATTAAAGTTTGGTTTACAGAGCAGGCGATAAAAACTTTTAAAGTGAGTTACATGTGATTGAAAATGAAACCATTTTGTTTTCATGCAGTCTGTGTCAGTCACAGCCAGTGAGGTATGGGTAGAGCAGCATAAACAGAAACAAAGGTGATTTAACTCCTAAATTGAGCGGTGAAACTTCAGATGCATGATCTGTACACAAACAAACACTACTTCATTACGCTAAAGTTGTTTTGGTGACTATAGTGTTTCTTTAATTGCTTATAAAATAGAAGATTTCACTGAAAAGAATGAACCCTACCCTTTGCCTTTCATTGGTTTACTTCCATAGTAACCCAAGAACTGTTCCACTATCCGTCACAGTGAATGGCTAGACGCTAGACAGCAAAACACACATTCAGATTGACTGCTAACATAAGTAAGAGTTACTGAGTATTAAAAAATTGTGATGCCTTTATGAAAAATATAACTTTCTATAATTTTCTCATGTTTTAAGACTTGTGGAAAGAAATTGACAACAGTGTGGTTTGAAAGTCTGAAACGGTACTACACAAAAAGAAAATTGAAAATCTTGGAGAGATTGGTTGGAGAAAATTAGATTTCATTCCCAAAGAGAGGTATGCAGAGGTCACTGCAAGATGAAGTTGCTGAATGGATAAATTAAACACAGTTAATTGTTTAACATCTGCACAGAATATGGATTGGACCTGCCTAAGTCCAGATGGAAGATACGACTAAAGGTATTCGATAATGACAGGGCTAAGATCCTGTGGGACTTCAATATCCAGGCAGACAAGCAAGTGCTGGCCAACCTGACATCATGGTGGTAGACAAGGAACGGAAGACTGCCGTTGTGGTGGATGTGGCAATACCCAGTGACTATAACATCAGGAAGAAGGAACATGAGAAGGTGGAGAAATATCAAGGACTGAAAGAAGAACTAGAAAGGATATTGAAAGTGAAGGCAGTAGAAGTCCCAGTTGTGATAGGAGCACTCAGAGCTGTAACTCTCAAGTTGGGGAGAGTGGCTTCAACAGATTCCAGGTGGCACATCTGAGATCGCTGTCCAGAAGAGTGCAGTTCTAGGAACAGCTAAGATACTGCGCAGAACCCTCAAACTCCCAGGCCCCTGGTAGAGGACCCAATAATGAGGAATAAACATACCACCCAAGAGGGGTGAGAAAATCTATATTTTTTATATATATATATTTATATATTTCATCACCATCGCGCCTGGTCCACCTCCATGGCAGAGATCATCAATATCTCATAGGAAAGCATTGACAGGCGTGGCAAAACTCTACACTGTGCCAGTCAGCATTTTACTCATAGAGAGTCATTGAATCAATGCATCTCTATGAGGAATGTTTAGAGTTTCTAGGCAGAGCGTTGAGACGCTGAACGACAGTGCTTCACACTGCAGCACTGACCCAGGAGGCACCTCCTGTGGCCGTCCAAGTGACTGTCAGTAGAGGCGTTACTAGCCAGCAATGTAAATGAAAAGGCAGTGTTTACAGTGCAGGGACATGCTATAGATACTGGAACCACTACATTAAGTTGATTATAATGTATCTTTAAAGAACTTTGCTGCCGGAAGTGTAACAGCAGCAGCGCCATTAGAAGCCTGGTACAAGAGTTCCGGGCTAGCAAATGTTATTTTATTTATATACACATATACTAGGCATCTTTCGTCAGCACACATAACATGCTGTCAACAGACAACCAATGGCAGCACACCCCATTTCTCCCACAGTTCATCCTCTGCAACGGCCCTCCCCCTGAAGCAAGATTGAGTGATGTCACCAACGGCAGGGAGAACTTGGAAATGGATTACTCTTATTTCTTTTGGAGGGGGACCATGCCAGTAATGGCAACTAAATGCAAAAGCAGTGTTTTAATAAATAAAAAAAATAAAAAAACATTTTTGATTACAGTAATTGTTTATCCCCTTGTTTCTCAATCAGTAGTACGAATACCCCAAGGGGTACACGGATCACAGGCAGAGAGTATGCTAATTAGCAGCCCTTAGGAGAAGGCCGGCTGTGCTCGAAGACAGACTAAGCACTTGCTTAACCGGAAGACAGGTGCCTACCCTGCCCAAATAAAGTATCCGGGAAAGGAAGGGACGGTGAGGGAGCTGTACCCGTCATAATATTCCAGCACCGCTACCTCGCATGCACTGCGGTGAGAACTGGAGCCAGATTATGAAGTCACTCTGGCCCCTGTATCACTAAACAGCACACAAGGGAGCAGTGCGGGAAGAGCACAAAGATTGCACAAGCCCTACACTGGACCCCGGGGAAAGGATCCACCCCAACTCTCCCAAAGGTAAGGAGATTGTGCCAAATCAGTGTCAATTCAGTATGTCTCAGGAAGTGTCTAATCAGTGAGAGTGTGTGACTGTTAATATGTGTGTGTAACTATGTGTTAGATTTTCATTTTGTGATTTTTATACTTCAGATTAATAGTTCATTCACTCCTTACATACACAATATTCACATTATGCAATTTACTTTCAAAATATTCTTTACTATCTTTAACCCCTTAAGAACCAAACTTCTGGAATAAAAAGGGAATCATGACATGTCACACACGTCACGTGTCCTTAAGTGGTTAATTGGGCTTGTTCTCCAAATTAATAAAAATAACTTTCTCGAGGAAAAGGTAGGTCTCTCTAAAAAGGTTGAGAAATGTCTAACCCACCATTTTTTTTAGGAGTATACACACACTTTTGCCCTCCGAAAACCAAATCCCTCTCATTGCCTGAGTAGTGAGAGTTTCAGCACAGAACTTATTTTTGTATATTTCGGTTTCTGTATTACACAATCATTCAATCTATAATGAATGCGGCAGCAAGGCAAATTTTCCTGTCTGCCTGCACCTCCCACGCCTCCCCCCTCTGTCAGTCCCTACATTGGCTTCCAGTTAGATATAGGGCTCAATGTAAGATTCTGGTGCTTGTTTACAAGTACCTACATAATGCTGCTCCAACCTACCTATCCTCCCTAATACACAAGTATTTCCCGTTGAGGCCTCTGCGCTCTGCCGAAGACCTACGTCTTTCCTCTGTCTGTACTCCCACATGTGATGCTCACCTCTGATGTTTCATTGTCAAAAATAATCTAAGTTCTCAGTGAATACTTTTCTAGCAACCTATTTCATTACCCCTACTTTTACCCTTTGTGTCACTATACCCCACTCCCTCTAGCATGTAAGCTCATTGAACAGGGCCCTCGATCCCTCTGTTCCTGTGCGTCCATTTGTCTGGTTACAATTACGTGTCTGTTAGTCCACCCATTGTACAGCGCTACAGAATTTGCAGGCGCTATCTAAATAATAATAAAATAATCATGTTACAGTGCTGCCACTCACCCCATGTGTTCCCTATTAAGGGTTAATAAGTATGTATGGTTTTAGAAAAATACCCGTCTGAGTTTTTTTTTTAAACCTAAAGATGAAAGAAGCATGGTGAATTGTTAATGCAAGACTCACCTAAAAGATTTGCCTTGGCGTGGCAGGTGAGCTTAAACACGAGTGACCACTGGAGTGATACTGAAAACCTTGTTATTTAAATGTGCACAGGTAACTATTTTATTTTAATTTTATTGAATGGATTGGGGCTGACGTGTTCTCTAATTATTGCTGCCGTACAGGAGTAGTAGGAGTTTGAGCGCAAGACTTATTTTTGTAAATTATTATTAACCAAGGCACAATACTCATAGGCACAAAGTATGTTGAGCGGTCACTGGTGAAAGTTATCAAGCTTTCTGTATGATGTGTAATTCCTCCCCACCTCCGCCTCCCTTACAATACCCACATAGAGCACAAAAAACACATTGTGATTTTCACCTAAAATTTTATTTTATGTTTGCTCTCGGAGGGAATAATGTAATATCAGTTTAGCCACAATAGCGAGGTGAGAATTTAACAAACACAAAGGACAGGCAAATGAAAAAACAAAAACAAAGCTTTTCAAACACAAACTGTAAACATACTCATGTAACAACAGTAGTTCACAATTTAGAATGTTTCCAATAAATAAGACAATAGAAACTCTTTATAGCAAAAATAAAATTAGTAACAAAGCTCATCATTATGCTCACCTGAAGACACACATGTAATACATGTATATACTATACACATTCTAAGATTTACTGATGTTAATGTAAAAAAACGAAACAAAATGATGTTCTCACGACAAGGCAATAAGCAGCATGCCATGATTTGGTGAATGCTGCACTGCATTATGGGAGTAATGAGGAGAATATCATCTTTCAAAGCAGATGTAAACGTTTGTTTTGTTTTTTTTACTTTCCAAAAAAGGACACTTTGCACGTTGGTATATTTGAGATTTTTTCCCACCTGGATGTTAATGCTGATATATTCATAAATCCACTGAATACTTTGCGTTAAAGGAAGGATGCCCAACACTTCGAAGTACTCACAGGAGCCATGTGCGGCTGCCAAACACTTTACAAATAATACACAGTGTGCAAAATGTAGGAGCCAGGGTCTTTATGACCAGCACAAGATATGCATATTACATGTACAATATTGTCTCAAGGTGTGAAAAATGCCATTGCTATAAAAAAAAAAAAAAAGTTCACTATGCTGTAATCTAATAGTTTGAGGACCACACAATGCAAATATCTGGTTAGGACAAAGCATGGACAGTATTATAGTGTATTGGACAATACTTAGAATATTTGCATTGTGTAGAAATTCTAGAAAAAAAAAAAAAAAAAAAAAAAACAATCTAACACATCATGAAAAAAAAAATACAAAAAATAAAAGCTTAGCCAAGTTCTAAATACTAAATGTTTCATTCTAAAGACAGTCATCTTGTGCTATTCAAACTGTGCGGCTATGCAATTCATTATCCTCAAAGCAGCTCTTGGTAGAATGGCATTCACTGGGATCAGCTAAAGCAGAACGTTGGGTGAGAATAAGAACCCAGAGCACATGGGGTTCTAACCAGTGACTTTCTGAAGTTCGATATGTAGTCAGAGAGCTACAGTCAAAAAGGCAGGGTTATAGTAACTGTAATCAACCAGGAATAAGATTTAAGGGAAAGGGTTATCAACAGGCCTATGTAAAACATAAATACACACCTTCTACAGAAGAATAGCAAACGGATTTACACTCACTCTGTGACAGAATGTGTCATGCAGATTAATCGCTCTCCAATGCAGCTATACGCGTAGAGGGAGGAATTGGAAGCAGAGCCAAGTCTGGTCTATCATTGTAACTCACAATACTCATACAGAAAATGTAAACAGGTTACATGAAAACAAGTTGAAGAACTCTAGTGACATTGTAAACATTTTATCTGAATCTCTTTGTAATAAATGTCACCCCAGTGTGCTTAATGCAAACAACACTCACATTGCTGCCTTCAGTGCTTTAGGGAAATCCTTTCATATAAATACATTATATAAGTTATAGCAATAAATGATCTAGAAGTGCAGATTACTGAGAAGCCAGCACCCAGTATAGTAACCAAAGTCAAACGAGAAATACATTTAAAAATAAATTTGCAATTAAAAAAAAATAAATTAAAAATAAACCCCTCCCCGCAACCAGGTTCGGTTTTTCTTTTGATCAAACATTAAAAAGATATCCCTCCCCCATGTTGCAATCACGACAACTAACTGGCTGTTATAAATTAAGCTTTAGGTGAAAGCAATATGTGCATATAAATCCTCTTATGTCACCTGGGTCGGGTTCTTTGCATTCTATGAAAAGAATCCCTCAGCCGTGCACCCTGTGAAACTCACACAAGCCGTCATGGCACCATAAACACTACAGTGGGCTGTAGTGGTTATGGTGCACGAATTGTTTCTTTATTAAAAGTTTGCATTTTTCCCCAAAGATGCACATTTAAAAATAATAAAATACATATATAGCTACAGATGATTAAAATACACAGCTCCTTTACAGTACAGTCAAAATGTAGCAATTGTTGCAAATAACCTATAAATATTAAGTGCAGAAGAACATGGAATGTGTAAACCATTAAAAAAAAAAAAAAAGGAAAAAACTGAAAGGTCGAGGTCAGGATCCTTTGGCACTCCAGACATTGTCAACTACATCTCCCATAATGTTCTTACAGCCATAATGCTCTCAAAACATCAGGGGAGAGGTAATCCACATCTGGCGTGCCGAAGGTTGCCTGCCCTATGTCTAGGTAAAACCTAAAGTACATATAGAAATTTTAGTATAATCAAAAATGTGTATAATTATGTTCAAGATGACACCACGAGCCCCCATTCACAAAACTACTTGAGAAAAATATGTACGTATGTCCCTCAAGCCGTTTTGTGGGTGGTGAGATACTGATTGGCTTAGAGTGTCATCTGACACTCAGCCAATAAGGGGCGCCATTAGCTGCAGCTTTCACTTTAAGAATATGAGCAGCAGAAGGACGGGGGGCAGAGCAATCTGGGCTTTGAGGTTAGCCCATAGAGAGAAGCCAGCATCAGGGACCTCTTGGCACCATAATGTCATAACAATTAAGTTATGGTGCCCATAGTGTTTTTTTGTTAAGATTTCTGTAATCCTCCTTAAACCTACTCAATTAGACAATTTTTGTATTTGGGCAATTCCTTTACTTACACATGGATATGCGCTAAATAAATGAAAAGGTTACAAAGCGTGTAATTCTCTTTATTACATCTCCTCCCATTCGACTTCTTTACGTTTTAATCTAAAAGCGAACTCTGAGGATTGTCTCTTTACTGACAACACATTATTCCAATTTCACGTGTGGTTATAAACATCTCTATGGCACTACACTACTGGTTTCCTTAGATTTTCCTTTTGAGGGAAGTGCCTAATTTCCAGTGAGCTGCCTATTTTATAATTTGGTGTAGTTGTTGAGCGCTTATCCTTTTCTCCAATGCATTCGAAGTTATGGCTACAAGACATTCGAGGATGGCACTCACCACAATTGTTTAAATGAAGACAAAAAAAATGTAAAATTAACTATCCTGCACTGATGCAAAAACACAGCATTTACAACTTCTGCTAGGTCTCACCAAACCAGGAATAAATGAGAATTTTAGTGCCAATCATCGCTGCCATTTCAATCACATCACAAAAATTTTTTTTTAAAAATGAGAGAACAAAACGGTGTACTAGGCGACACAAGCCATTTTTTTGCAAATGTAACTATACGAAACCAAGAGGAGCGAGACAGGGGATCTTATATCACAATAATCCATTTATGCAGCAGTTAGGTAGCTTGGATAATTTTTAAATTGAGAAATCACAATATACTTACTGCAGGGTTTTGATGTGTTTTTTTTTTTTTTTTTTTGGTCAATCTACATAAAAGGAAAAATCTACAGGTTTAATTGTTAAAGGCCAGCAACAGAAATCCTATAAAATGTTGTTTAATTGTGAAGTGGAGACTAGATGTGGTCTCAAAGCTACAGGTTCTTCAAGTGACCTGGGGGACCTTCTCAGTTTGGACTTTACATTAATGTATATTTTACTTCACCTGTAGTTTTTAACCTTTCATCCTCTTTCCTTTTAGGTTGAATATATACTATTTAAAAGTAGCTCTCAGAAAGTCTATACACAACCATAAAGAATTTAAATAAACACCTACAGCTTTAAAAAAAAAGGATCTCACACTGATCAATATTTTCAAATTTGTCCAATTGACATTAAGCTGTAGTTGTTTCAGTTACTATAGCGTCCCTTTAACCCCTTAAGGACCAAACTTCTGGAATAAAAGGGAATCATGACATGTCACACATGTCATGTGTCCTTAAGGGGTTAATAACTTTGGATAAGCTTTTCAAATTATTTAACAGATTGTGATCAAAGTCACCATTAACATCTTTAGGTATTTTTGTAAATAAAATAATTTGAAACCAAACAGATTGTTTATTTGAAAAGCTTAGCCAAAATAATTAAATTGAAGCCTTGGCGTCCACCCTTTTCAATCCAGACTTATATTGGACACAATTCCTGCAATCCTCTCTAATAATAGGACCAAGGATAGAAATTCAAAGTGTAGACCAACATACAATCAATCCATGTGGGACTTACAAACAAGCACTGCAGCATAACAGAATATGGTCTACTGAACATTCAACAGAAACCAATGTGAATTAGAATTAAATGACGGTTGTGAAAAGCAAAGGAGAAAAAAGGAGCCAGTTTTGAAGAGAACACAACGTCTTCTCTGCAGCTATGTCATAACTAATGTTTCACTCATCACTCTGGAGTGTGTTCAACACTAGACTGGTTTAAATAAGTGTTTCAGAAGCAGTGCCCATGTGTGAAGCATTTGCAAGAGCCACGTTAAAAAAATAAAAAAAATAAAGATTATTAAAAAAAATACTGAAATTCTAATATGAACACACAATCAAGCAAACAGATCAGGTCAAGGCTGGCTGAAGAATACTGCCTTAGTAAATCACACAGTTCTTGGAATAAGGTGGGCCTTTACGATAGATGTTACAGGTGATAGAAAATTAAGTCCCTATCACTGAAATAAGAGAAAAGCTAGTGTGAGGGAAGAGAAGTATCATTGAAGCGAGCTAGTTAACGCATTGAAAAAAGGTGAAGCTTTCATGGTTTGTCAGGGCAACTGTAAGTCTACATAAAGCATGTATGAAATTCCAGTGTATTATTATATTATTTATACAGCGCCAGCAAATTCCGTAGCGCTGTACAATGGGAGTATAAACCTCTACCATCTCTGCTGGAAGGCTATTCAAAGAATTCACAAGTTACTCATTCTGTAAACAATGTCGTCTCAATGTGGCTAAGCCCTTTGATAAATTCACTGTGTGCGCATGCAAAGCATCATTTTTGCATGTGATGATAAATTCCTCAATCTATTTGTACGTTTCAAATCCCAGTCTGTTCTATTGTACACAGTTTTATCTTGGGTTAGTACAAACAAACAAACTGCATATATTTTCCCCATTTTCACAGTAGTCTGGAATATAAGACATATACATCTTCTTAAAATCAGATTAGAGGATAAAAAAATAAGTATATACTTCAGGTTTCTAATACAGAAGATATTTCTGGAAAATACAATTGATTTAAAGATATGCCCCAAGATGGGGGGGTGACCTATCTACATTAGTGCACAAGATGCATTAGCTTCTCCCACAGGGAATGAAAGGAGGCAAACTGCCCATCAAATGGCTTGGTTAAGAAAAAGGACACTTACAGCCATTCACTGTTGCAGACACAGGCATGTCATGACATTTTCTGCCTATTACAGGAAGGGCTGGCTGTTGTAAGTGGAAAGAAATCTAGATTATGAGGATGTAGTGAAGCCCTCCAAATGCATGGCTGCCTAGATCTCCTCATCACTCTGATTCCCATCTCTGTGTTGCTCCTGGTCTGAAGAGCTGGAGGCTTCATCGTCTGTCTGGTCACCCACGTGGTAGAGCATGAGCGCATGGGTCTTGTGGGTAATGGTGATGGTACATGGACCTTGCGCCCACGGTTCTCCGTCTACCTGCATCGGCATTTTGGAACTTTTTAAAATCAGCTGTCAAAGAAATGGAGAAGATAATAACCTTTACTACAAATTCATGCAGTAATGTTCCCTAAAATTAAAAAATATAAAATACTTATATAGATTATGAAAGAATATTTTTTTTTTTTTTTGACCAAGGTACTAGTTATCAATGAGAGCTATTTAGCAAAGCAAACTATTTTCCTTCTCAATAAAATGTTTGGTCTTGGCGTTTGCAAGATTTGCGTGGCGCTCTAGTTCCACAAATACTTTTTCTCCCTCTACTCGAAGTGACTTAATTTGGTTCTTTACCTGCTGTATTCAAACAGCAGAAATTGATTTATAAAGAGGATGTGTAAATGGAAATTGCTTTATGGACTGCATGATAGTAATATTACAAGTGTCATTTACAGGAATATACGCAATTACCTTTTCTTCTATTGACACTACCTAATTTTCAGATTTCCGTTCCATTGAATTATGTCAATTTGCTATTGTTACAGATATAGAAACCATTACACACACAGACGCAGTCTCAAATAGTACTCTTTTACAGTACCATACAGCAGCTTTTTTACACTTCGCCTTTAAATTAAAGCGGTCTTAGGCCCACTGCAGCCTTTTTACTGTATGAGTTTTAGAATTGCTCTCACCCAATACAAAATATCTTGATCTACAATGTGACTTTGTAACGGCTTTGCATTGAAACTTTTAAGTGTAAGTAGAGAATAACAGTGCAAGCTTACTTGGGGTGGATTGCAGTGGCTTTGGCATAGATAAGGTAAGAATCATATTCACATGTTTGGTTCAGTTTACCTTGTAAAAAGTCTGTTTGGTTTGATTAGCAAGAAGGTAGTGCGGATCAAAAAGTGTCCACGTATCAAACATCCACTCATCTAAAACCTTATAGGGTCCACCACTTACCCGTACAGTGTGGGCCTGGCCAAGCCGCACTGGATTTGCCAGCTTCACTTGAATCTGAGCGCAGTGGAAGGAACCAAAAACTCCCACAACTTCCAAAAGGCCATCATCATGTCTGCAATGAGGAAATTTGTAAAATTCTAAATTAAGAAAAATTGTATTAAATTCTGGGTATTATTGGTCTTCCTCCTAGGGAAATTCATTTTTTTGTTGTTGTTGTTTTACCACAGTTAAGATAATTGTAAAACAGAGTACCTAATAATAATAATAATAATAATAATAAACTAGGACAGTATTAAACCTGTTCTTATTTTTTCATAATCAATTCTAATTTATCAGTCTGTAAATTCAAACAGCTCAACAGAAGATCAGGTCCTGTGTCTTTGTGCTAATGTCAGCAAAGCACTATTACAGTATTCGTTCTGCCACAATTATAACATATCTCAGTGACATGGCTAATTTGCAAAACCTTTGAGAAAGGTCACAAACAGAAAATCTGCCTTGCTTTTGGGCCAAAGCATGTCAAACCACTGAAGACTGTATCTAAGACCTGTCCAACTATTAAAGGGAAACAAGAGGGTAAAATGGATCACATTTTCTGAACATGAATAAATTAGCAGCAAGTGTCTGTAGCAAAGAGAACCAGCTCCATGCCAATTCGAATCTCCTCATAGAGATGCATTGAATCAATGAATCACAGTTCAGTGTCTCTATGCACAGCGAATTAGTCAGACTCAATAAGTTGGTCCCAGGGAAACCAGACTTAAACAATCTTAGTGCCATTTCCCTGCATAGATGCAGTACGAAATTGCAGTAGACCTGATCACTCGCATGTAATGAACGGGGATCAGAGCCTTAGCAGCACCTATCAGATCTCGGAACAGAAAGTATTCTACAGCGAGCATTCCAATAAGTATTTTAACCCTTTAGTAGCACCTCTATTTGTTTAAAAAAAATAAAGTTAGTGCTTTATACACCGATGGCAGTCACACCAAAGTTGTCATAAGTTTATATACAGCCTGGTTCATCTTTCTTTATGGATTACCTACCTAGACAAGGGGTATGGTTCATCTCCCATTCCTTCCCACAGCCTGCAGCCACCTCCCCAGTAGCCAATATTTAGCACCACAATGCCTTCCAGGTTGGGCAAGTCAATTCGCTCTCCATCTAACTCCAGCTGCAGTGACAAAGCATGAAAGGTCAGCAGTTACAGAGCTGGCTACAGCTATACAGGTGATACTCGAAAAATTTGAATATCGTGCAAAAGTTCATTTATTTCAGTAATGCAACGTAAAAGGGGAAACGAATATATGAGATAGACGCATTACATGCAAAGCAAGATAGTTCAAGCCGTGATTTGTCATAAGTGCGATGATTATGGCTTACAGCTCATGAAAACCCCAAATCCACAATCTCAGTAAATTAGAATACTGTGAAAAGGTGCAATATTCTAGGCTCACAGTGTCCTACTCTAATCAGCTAAGTAAGCCATAACACCTGCATATGGTTTCTGAGCCTTTAAATGGTCTCTCATGGTCTCCAATCATCGTGAAGACTGCGTATTCCTTTTGTCAAGCCGCTGCAGAACAAACAACGTCAAAAGCGTCTTACCAGGGCTAAAGAAAAACAGTGGTCCAAAGTCCTCTTTTCTGATGAGAGCAACTTTTGAATCTCATTTGGAAACCAAGGACCCAGAGTTTGGAGGAAGAATGGAGAAGTTTCCACAGTCTGTGTTGATTTGGGGAGCCAAGTCATCTGCTGGTGTTGGTCCACTGTGCTTCATTAAGTCCAGGGTCAACGCAGTACGTCTACCAGATTTTGGAGCACTTCATGCTTACTTCCGCAGACGAGCTTTATGGGGAGGCTGACTTCATTTTCCAGCAGAAAATGGCACCTGCCCACACTGCCAAAAGCACCAAAGCCTGGTTCAATGACCGTGGGATTACTGTGCTTGATTGGCCAGCAAACTCGCCTGACCTAAACCCCAAAGAGAATCTATGGGGCATTGCCAAGAGGAAGATGAGAGACACGAGACTGAACAATGCCGCCGAGGCAGTAATTGCTGCAAAAGCGGCCCAAACCAAGTACTGAGTCCATATGCATGCTTATACTTTTCAGAGGTCCGATATTGTTCTATGTACACTCCTTGTTTTATTGATTGCATGTAATATTCTAATTTACTGAGATTGTGGATTTGGGGTTTTCATGAGCTGTAAGCCATAATCATTGCACTTATGACAAATCACAGCTTGATCTATCTTGCTTTGCATGTAATGCGTCTATCTCATATATTACTTTCCCCTTTTACATTGCCTTACTGAAATAAATGAACTTTTGCACGATATTCTAGTTTTTCGAGTATCACCTGTAGATGAACAGACATGATTACACAGCAAGCAATGCATTTAATAGAATTACTCCTGCAGTCACCATCAGACTCAGAACCAATTACATTTCCCCTGAATATGAAGAAAAGGGAAATATAAAATTCTAAACATCCTCTGTTTAGGCACCTGTCATGGAAAATACAGAAAAATGGCCTTTGCAGACAGGGCTGTAAACCCTGTGACTAGGAAATGTATTTGTAAAAATGTGTGAAACAGTAAACATATTAGCTCACAGTTTTGGACAGGAGACATTCTATTGATGTAATGGCATTTTCTTAAAGGGACAGTATAGGCACCCAGACCGCTTCAGCTCATTGAAATGATATGGGTGCAGTGTCCCATCACCCTTAACCTTGAGCATGTAATAATTGCAGTTTTTAATAGTCGCCTAAATGACGCTGGACGTCCACGTGCTATGCATGAGGACTTCTAGCGTCACCTGGTTCCCCATAGGAATCTGGTGACATGTGAACCAGATTCCTGCGCATTAGGTCTCCCCCCGCCGGCTGACCCGAGCCAGTGCTGAGGGACATTGGTGCTGGACCAGGTAAGTGACAGAAGGGTTTTTTAACCCGTTCTGCACCACAGGGGGAGTGGGGCGCACAACTATAGTTTCCCTTTAATGACCGTTGTCTCTTAAAATAATTTAACTCCTACTAGAGACGCAGACACAAAGTGAGCACCCCTTCTTCCCCCCCCCCCCTTTTTTTTTTTTTTTTAAAAATACATGCAATTTTAGATTTGATGAGAAGAGTAGAGTTTTAGGTTTAAAATCTTACCTCTATTTTCTTGTTAAGATCTTTACATTCTTGAACCAAGCAATCCTTTGTCCCATAAAACAGGTAAACAGCCTGTAATAAAAAACAGAACTGTCACATTTGCTGTAACGAGCCCAAAATTACTTAAATGTAAATTATTCAGTCCCAAGACCCAAGTAATGACAGCATGCTGGAATTGATCCCCAATATAGAGCACAACTATAGAGTAACAGGTCAAATACTTGGGCTCTAAGACCCAAACAGACAATGCTTTCTGGACATTCCTCCTTAAACATAGGTGAGCCAGTAATCCAAACAGGCCAATGTTCCAGGTACC